ATTATTGTTGCCGCTAACTACTGCTACTTCTCCTTCTATTACTACTAATGATGCTATTGCCATTACTCAATACTACTACTTTTTCTACTACAACTGCTGCTACTGTTGCCGAGACTACAACTGCTGCTACTGATGCCGAGACTACTACTGTTGCTACTGTTGCCGAGACTACTACTGTTGCTACTGTTGCCGAGACTACTACTGTTGCTACTGTTGCCGAGACTACTACTGTTGCTACTGTTGCCGAGACTACAACTGCTGCTACTGTTGCCGAGACTACAACTGCTGCTACTGTTGCCGAGACTACTACTGTTGCTACTGTTGCCGAGACTACTACTGTTGCTACTGTTGCCGAGACTACTACTGTTGCTACTGTTGCCGAGACTACTACTGCTGCTACTGTTTTTATTTGCTGCTGCTGCTAACTACTTCTTCTGTTACTATTGCTACTAAAACTGCTGGCACTACTATTACTGCTGCTGTCACTGCTACTACTACTACTGTAAGGTTGCTGTACTATTGCTACTGCTGCTCCTACGGTAGTGTTCTCTATGCTGCTGCTCCTACTACTGCTATTACTAATGCTGCTACTACTACTGCTATTGTTACCGCTAATACTACTACTGCTGCTACTACTACTGCCATTGTTACCGCTAATACTACTACTGCTGCTACTACAAAAGTTGAAAAAAAATTCATACATCCGCTCAAGCCTCGCAAGCCATAATAATAACGACATCCCTTCTGTCGGCCGACATCTTGCTTCGTTCCCATGAAGCTTCGCGCCGAGACAACCAACATGTTGCGGGTAATGAGATCTCAAGACGGGTTCACAGCCGTTATTTCATTCTTTGACCCCCTCAAGATGGCGTCCGATTGCTTCTGATTCGAGCTGTTGCCAGACGATAAGAAATTCATTTATCGAGAACAAAAACAGAGACGGGAAAAAAAACTAGGACTGTGAGAACAAAGCAGGTTTGGTGACAGAGCAGGGTTTGCAGTCATGTGACACGCAGGGAGTTTAATTATTGGCTGCTTGTGTACTATTATATCGTCGCGGCTGTAGTGGGGTGGTGGTCTGAAAGGGATATAGATATACAAACAATTAGGGTGACTGAGAGAGTAAGGCAAACAGGCAGACACATAGACAAGCCTGGGGGACCGACACACATACAGCCAGACAGACAAAGAGAGAAGTGGAGAGACATAAAAACACAAGGGCTGACATAAACACCACAGTAACAAAGAAAGGCTGGCAAACAAAAAAAACACACACACAATTACAAACACACGCACACAGACACAGTAAGAGAAAACAAATGAGGTGACAGAGACAAAGAGTAACAGAAACAGGCAGAGATACGGGAGGCATAATTAAAGACAGACAACAATAGAGATATAATTTAGAGACATTGCTCGTCGTGGGCGCACGCAACGATAGAGAGAGACAGAGAGTGTGAGAGAGAGGGGGGAGGGGTAGTGACAGTCACACATCGAAAATCGTGTGTATTTATCTGTTTTATTTGACATCTTATCGTTTTTACTACTGTATCACTTAATGCTTTATCTTTACAATAAATCACAAATCCTTTATGTATTTCGTGTGTTTATTATAAATGAAAAAGAGTTTATAAATCCCTCCCGAACCGTTGCCAGTACACGGGTTAAATATACATTTGGTAATATGACTACTAATACTTAAAAATTACCTTTTCAAGGGTCGTAATGTGAACAAATACTAGAGGCATATAACTCTAGCGAAAGTTTACTTTCACTGATTGTCCCACTAAATAAAGAAATGCACAATAACCTAGACCATCAGTGTAACTGTTAAATTAAACATTGTAGTCATAATGGCACATTAAACTTTAACCCGTGTACTGATCGCGGTTTGGGAGGAGTTAACACTTCACTGATAATAAACACGCGAAATACAGAAAGGGTTTTGATTTATACTATTGATATGTGTTTCTGTGTGTACCAGCTAACCAGTCATATCCTTATGAAATAAAGTTTTTCGTTATTTGAAGCCCTACTTTGGCTCTTGCCAGGGGCCGCAATATAGCCCGACCATAAAAATGGTATAATGGCTGAACTCGTTTCTGGGACCTCTCCACGGCTGATCCTCATCCAAATGTTGGCAATTTGTGTTATCTGGTGTTTATCGCTAGTGTGATGTCCTGGTGGGGTACAAATCTACTATTTATTATACCCCCCCCCCCCTCCTCCTTTTTTTCACCCTCCTTAATTTACCCTTTTTCCTGGACACTAAAACAGAAGTCCTAAAACCGTTGTCGTCTAGGTCACTAAAACAGCGCGCGCTGAGGTCCTTAGTAGACGTTCAGTCGCTGACACAAACATAACCCATTCGTTATGTCAGTGGCATGTGTCATGTCAGTAACTAGTCATAGCATGAGTGTGTCACGTGGGAACAGCCGCGTGGTTGTTTTCTTTCTTGTCTTTCCTCTGATTTATTACACATTTCTGGTCTGTTTTCTTCCTTGTCTTTCCTCTGATTTATTACACATTTCTGGTCTGTTTTCTTGCTTGTCTTTCCTCGGATTTATTACACATTTCTGGTCTGTTTTCTTCCTTGTCTTTCCTCTGATTTATTACACATTTCTGGTCTGTTTTCTTCCTTGTCTTTCCTCTGATTTATTACACATTTCTGGTCTGTTTTCTTCCTTGTCGTTCCTCTGATTTATTACACATTTCTGGTCTGTTTTCTTCCTTGTCTTTCCTCTGATTTATTACACATTTCTGGTCCGTTTTCTTGCTTGTCTCTCCTTTGTTTTCGTGTTTGTCTTTTTTCCCCCCTCTCTTGTTTTCTCGTTTGACTGTTATCTTGTTTAGTGTACATTTCTCCTCTAATTTTCTCAATTGTCTCTCCTCTTTTGGTTTCTCTTCTGTTTTCTTTTTGTTTTGTTTTTGTTTCCATTGACACAGAAATAGAACAGTTGCTTTTACTTGCTTCTTTCTCCTGTATTTTCTTGTACACCTGTCTTCTGTTGTCTTGTTCACTCCTCCGCTGTTGTCTTGTTTGTCTGTCGTCTGTTTGTTTGTTTTGTGTTTGTTTGTTTATTTGTTTATATCTCCTTACCACCCGACAGCGACATAGTAATCGTGTGAGATCTTGACCTATGACCATCTAGGTTGGCTGGTACAGCAGTGGTGTTTACGATTAGTATCCGTTACAGAGCACTGTTCGTTAATGCGAAATGATCCTAAATCCAACTGTGCGGACTATTATCATTTAATGCAACTTATGTTACGAACGAGTCTCTTCGTATTGTTTGAACCAGAACTAACATATTGATTGACTAATATTCAGCTGATTGATTGACTGACCAGTTAATTTACCGACTAACAGGTTGGCTGCCTGGCTTCTTGACTGACTGACTGACTGACTGACTGATTCACATATATATTAACTGTTTAACTTATTTATTGACTTTGTTACTTACTGATTGGCTGGTTGATTGGTTGACTGACTGATTGAATAACTTATTGATCGACTGAGTGATTGAAAACTGACTGATTTATTCAGTGACTAACAGATTGATGCATTAAATGAATAATGATTGACTGATTAACTGAATGTTAGACTGCCTTATTGATTCACTGGCTTGATGATTAACTGACCAATTAACTGATTGATTGATTGATTGACTGACTGTGTTACTTAATAACTTATTAACCGACTGACTGTTTTACTGGCTGCATTGTTCACTTATTGACTCGTTGAGTGAGTGTCTTATTAATTTACTGGTTTATTAAATAATTGATTGACTGACTGCTTAACTGTCTGACTTTTCAACAAACTGATTGATTGTTCGGCTGACAGACTTATTGATTATTTTATTGACTGACTCACTTATTGGCTGATTTGATTGACCTTCTGACTGACTTTTTGATTGCGTGATTGATTGACTCACTTTTTGATTGTTTGACTGACTGACTCGCTTATTGTCTAACTGATTGACTAACTGACTTTTTCTCAAGGGGCTTCCTGAAAATTTGCACACACCAACGACGCGAAGAGCCACACATAAGATGTCAATACTGCTTTATAAAAAGTAGCTATCTTGTTCTTCTCCTTCTTTTATTGTTAACGGGCTATAAGCTGCGATGAAAAGTCCTGGTTGTTCGTCTATTTGGACTTCGGCTTTGTACCAGGACCTGAGTTTTGCGTGTACATCCGTGTTACTGTCTTATTTGTGTGCAGCTGCTTGTTCCGTCCCGCTCAGTCAGATGCACTGCGACTTCAAAGTAAGTTCCAAACTAGTCAACTCCTACGACATGCATGGCAGGTCAGTGGGTCTATTGTTGATTTCCACTCCATGAGGCCCCGGAACTAGCTCGGGGAGTTGTCCCCTTTGAAATGTCACGTTACTGGTAAGGATAGGCAAGACTGATCACAAGGAACGTGGGCGGGGGGGGGGGGGGGCGGGGGGGGGGACAAAATAAATACCTCAATTGCTGAGCCATTTGGATAGGATGAGACAAGAGCACTGACATGATCCTTGGTGGTAGTGATTACATGAGATTCCAAAATATGTCGGCTAACGCTAATCGGTACGGTACATGATGATGGTGATGATAGTGATGATGAGGATGATGATTATTACGGTGATGATGTTGATGATGATAATGATGATGGCTGATACTTCACGAATCCTATCCCGGATGGGAAATCAACAGGGCAAATTCTAGACACTCCATTTAACTTTCATAGCGCAACGCCGCTTATACCACTCTCTTGTCTTGTGCGCTAGCTAAGAGGATTAAACCAGCTGCAGATTTACGGTATCTGTCATGGAGTCAAGGTCGAAGGGCTACGATATCCATAGTAACAAAGGGTTTACAAAACATGGTTTCTTAATCTTTTTTTTTTTACATGTTAAATGTGTTTACTGATTGAAATGACAACACAGAAACATCTGCTGCCTTCCTCTGGAAGCTCTCTGGGGCTGTCCCTGGCTGTGTCCAGGTTGTCCCACCCTGACAGGTCTGAACCTGATAGATGGTGTTCGGTCCATTCTGGCCTTCTTAGATCTTTCTCACAACTTCGGAGTGGATAAGCACAAGAGACACAGTAGAGCAGCTTGGCATACAGCTTGGGCAGGACGTACATTTCACAAATGCTGGCGTCAGACATTTCCCTGACAGCTGCTACCTCAACGATCTTTCGGCTGCTTCAACGATGTTTCTGCTGCCTCAACGATCATTCTGCTGCCTCAACGATCTTTCTGCTGCCTCTACGATCTTTCTGCTGCCTTAACGATGTTTCTGCTGCCTCAACGATGTTTCTGCTGCTTCAGCGATCTTTCTGATACCTCAGCGAGCTTTCTGATGCCTCAACGATCTTTCTGCTGCCTCAACGATCTTTCTGATGCCTCAACGATCTTTCTGCTGCCTCAACGATCTTTCTGCTGCCTCAACGATGTTTCTGCTGCCTCAACGATGTTTCTGCTGCCTCAACGATCTTTCTGCTGCCTCAACGATCTTTCTGCTGCCTCAACGATCTTTCTGCCGCCTCAACGATCTTTCTGCTGCCTCAACGATCTTTCTGCTGCCTCAACGATCTTTCTGCTGCCTCAACGATGTTTCTGCTGCCTCAGCGATGTTTCTGATGCCTCAACGATCTTTCTGCTGCCTCAACGATGTTTCTGCTGCCTCAGCGATATTTCTGCTGCCTCAACGATGTTTCTGCTGCCTCAACGATCTTTGTGCTGCCTCAACGATGTTTCTGCTGCCTCAACGATGTTTCTGCTGCCTCAGCGATGTTTCTGATGCCTCAACGATCTTTCTGATGCCTCAACGATCTTTCTGCTGTCTTAACGATCTTTCTGCTGCCTCAACGATATTTCTGCTGCCTCAACGATGCTTCTGCTGCCTTAACGATGTTTCTGCTGCCTCAACGATCTTTCTGCTGCCTCAGCGATCTTTCTGCTGCCTTAACGAAGTTTCTGCTGCCCCATCCTATCTTTCTGATGCCTCAACGATGTTTCTGCTGCCTCAACGATCTTTCTGCTGCCTCAACGATCTTTCTGCTGCTTTAACGATGTTTCTGCTGCCTCAACGATCTTTCTGCTGCCTCAGCGATCTTTCTGCTGCCTTAACGAAGTTTCTGCTGCCCCATCCTATCTTTCTGATGCCTTAACGATGTTTCTGCTGACAAATTTCTTGATGGCTTTTGTAGTAAACCCATTTTCTCCTCGATAAATTATGTTCCAGACGGAATGACGTCAGCGATTAAATATGAATGAGATATTTACATGTACGAAGGGCAGAGTCGTGAATCACAGAGAAAATGCTGGCTAAATGAATCTCATGCGAATCACGGAGAAAATGCTGGCCAAATAAAACTCATGCGAATCACAGAAAAAATGCTGGCCAAATGAATCTCATGCGAATCACGGAGAAAATGCTGGCCAAATAAAACTCATGTGAATCACAGAGAAATTGCTGGCTAAATGAATCTCATGCTAATCACGGAGAAAATGCTGGTCCAATGAAACTCATGCGAATCACGGAGAAAATGCTGGCCAAATAAAACTCATGCGAATCACAGAGAAAATTTTGGCCGAATGGAACCCGTGTGAATCTGAGAACACGGAGAAGTCGTAATTGTAATGTGGGGTTATAATGCCTTAGAAAATGCGCGTGGGCAGTCTCGTTTAGGCCTAGGAAATGAATACATGAAGTATGGAGGAGCGTCTGCCGGATCCAGAAAGTGTTTGAGTCTGATATGTCTGAGTCTCCCAACTCCTAGCCACGACTGACATAAACCCCACAGCCAGCTGATTGTGTGTGTTTTTCAATTGCTGTGGTGATGGAAATGTTTCGTCTCAAGGTATAGTTGATACTTTCAGTGAGTTAGGATAGATATGAGTGACTGTGTTGCACCTTAAAATTTACTGGCTGAAGTAACAGCGAGTGAACAAATAAAGAGCGACATAACTTTGTATCGTTCGCCATCGTCCATGTTTTCTCGTGTTGTCTGTCGGCGCATGAATGTGAGAGCGTGCAGTGACTAGAGCCAGAAAGAAGGAAGAAGAGAGTCGTTGCAGCGTTGTCCTCGGGCATACATCTGGCACAGTTTGTGCAGCGCACATACTTGATTGACATGGCCTCGGCCGTTCTTGTTGCGTTTGTTTTTTCTTCACTTCACGGTCATGGCGGCGGTTTTAATATTTCCAATGCTGAAATATGGGGAGCCAGCCAGACAAACGTTTTGGCTCTCACAACCTACACCTGTAATGTTCAGCGGTTTTCGAGTATGAATATAATTTATTCTTCTTCACGTTTACTGGCTCTAAAAACGGTAAAAAAGTTATGGCTGTTCGTCCGCTTCTAGACTTCCGTCTTGTTCTAGAAAAGTGGGGTTGCTAGCACATCCACTTCTAGAGATGCCCCAATTTAATTCGACATGTTTGTTGGAGAGGCAATAGTTCTATTCTTGTTTTCCTCCACAATGCGGTCCCAGATCCCACATGGGAACAAACATTATTTAATTTTCCTCTATTAGCATTTAAGCAAGGGAGACAATACAAAAAAAAGGATGATAATTATTTAGGTTTAATTTGGTTACATCCCTTACACTAACTTCTGACTTGTGCTTGCAGAGTTTAACACGCCCTAGTCTGTTTGACGCTATGTGGGTCCGGGATCCTATTTGTGGGTTCCGGGATCCTATTTGTGGGTGCCGGGATTCTATTTGTGGGTTCCGGGATCCTATTTGTGGGTTCCGGGATCCTATTTGTGGGAACGGGGTGGAAAGACCCAGTACCTTCTACAAGGCATTTCCCATGGGGGAGGGAGGAGGGTCGAAGAGTAGAGGTGCTTCCTATAAAGCCGGAGTGCATGAAGCTAAGAGGCGAGGGGCCAACAGTCTGCACACAAAAAAGCAATACTTATTAAACGGATGTGCACGCAATACTTACGTTCTGGATGAAGACTAAAACCCAAAAGCGGACGAGCATCCAGAAATATCCCCTATAGTTTACAGACGGTGAACGCCGAGGACTCTTCGATAGTTGGTTGGTGGTGGTGTGTGTGTGTGTGTGTGTGTGTGTGTGTGTGTGTGTGTGTGTTTGTGTGGCTATTGTGTTGACAGTATGAAGTAGCCAACCCTAAGCCCAACCTTATCCGCAGTAGTCTTCTTCTTCTTCGCGTTTACCGGCTGTAAACCCTGGCGGAAAGTTCTGGTTGTTCCTCCACTTCTGGACTGCAGTCCTGTTCCAGAATCTGAGGGTTGCGTCAGCATCCATTTGACAGATCTGTATGCAGACTGTTGGTTCCTTGCCTCTCAGGCAGATGCACTCCGACTTCGAAGGAAGCTCCCAACTAGTCGACTCTTACGACATGCTTTCGGGTAGGCAGTGGGTCAATTCTTGCTTTTTCCATAGTAGGGCCCCGGAACCCACACGGGGGATCCTCATTAGTCTCTTACGACATGTCTGGTAGGGTGCAGTGTTACTATTCTTTAGATCGTTATCTCTCCCTCGTTCTGTCTTTATCTATCCCATTATCGCTTCTCTTTCTGTACCTCTTTGACTCCATAGGTCTTCTCTCTCTCTCTCTCTCTCTCTCTCTCTCTCTCTCTCTCTCTCTCTCTCTCTCTCTTTATCTCTCTCTCTCTTGCTCGCCCCTTTCTATGCCTCTTGCACCTCTCTTTGACTGCAGTCTCTCCTTCTTCCCCCTCTTATATGTATTACTAAGTGTAAGTAATTTGTGTTGCAGCCCTCAGTCAAGTGTCGGCAGCCTCGGCCCAGAAACTTCCTGCTGGCAACACGCGAGACAACGAAGACGAGGATGATCTGCTGGACAACAGGTCAGTGCTGTGTGCCCCTGGGCTCTCTCGTGTCTCATTGTCTCATACTGACAACAGGTCAGTGCTGTGTGCCAGCCCCTGGGCTCTCTCGTGTCTCATTGTCTCATACTGACTGAAGTGTCAGTGCTGTGTGTCACTCCCTGGGCTCTCTCGTGTCTCATTGTCTCATACTCACTGAAGTGTCAGTGCTGTGTGCCACTCCCTGTGCTCTCTCGTGTCTCATTGTCTCATACTGACTGAAGTGTCAGTGCTGTTTGTCACTCCCTGGGCTCTCTCGTGTCTCATTCTCTCATACTGACTGAAGTGTCAGTGCTGTGTGCCACTTGGCTCTCTAATGTCTCATTGTCTAATACTGACTGAAGTGTCAGTGTTGTGTGTCCCTGTGCTCTCTCGTGTCTCACTGTCTAATACTGACTAAAGTGTCAGTGCTGTGTGTCCCTGTGCTCTCTCGTGTCTCATTGTCTCACACTGACTGAAGTGACAGTGCTGTGTGTCCCTGTGCTCTCTCGTGTCTTATTCTCTCATACTGACTGAAGTGTCAGTGCTGTGTGCCACTTGGCTCTCTCATGTCTCATTCTCTAATACCGACTGAAGTGTCAGTGCTGTGTGCCACTCCCTGTGCTCTCTTATGTCTCATTCTCGCATACTGACTGAAGTGACAGCGTCAGACTAACTCGTTAAATCAAGCACAGCAAAACGAAGAAAGAGGGAGGTTCGTGCGCATAGAACAGGACGATCTGTTGAGCACTCTGGGTTGCTACTTAAAGCTTTACTACACAAAACATATCTCACTCTGGATGACAAACCCACAATATAGATCTAAGTTACCTCGCTCGACCCAGACACCCCCCTCACCCCTCCACCCCCCAATTTATAATTGCTGCAACAGGTACGACTAAACCAGCCCAGTGTAACATGCATTTCTTTATTGTTACTGATGGAGATAGAAAATGACGAAGAATAGAAGAAGAAAAGGAAGAACTGGCTTTTTACTGTACGTTGCAAATCTAAACCAGTATTTGTTTGCTTTGTTTTTAAATATATTCTAAAGTAGGTAAATCTATATTCAGTAGTTTTTCATGGCGTCTGGGCAGCACGACGCTCTAACAGTTGTCGAAATCAACGCGAAGTTTTGCATGTATAACAACTCACTAAAACTTGAATACAGTTTACTTTGTAACTGCTGTGTGGTGATGCGATATACCTCTGCTGTATGTGGGAACTGGGTTTTCTGGAGTTGTATGTGTTTTACTCTTATCCTTGAGAGGTAATTCCTACAGATATTATGGTTGTTGTCCACTTATATACTTTAGTCAGAAATGAACGAACAACCAGAAATGTTCTATATGGGTTTAATTAAGGTGAACGCCAAAAAGAAGAAGGAGAAATGTGAAATACAGATTCACAAAAACACACTCGATGCTGTGCATTTAGTCGTCAGTTAGTTTAAGGGGTACAACCGCGATGTTTACAAACCATGAATAAAATAATTACTCGATTGTCTACCCTTATGTAAGGTCCTAAATGTGACTGTTGGTCCCGCATCGAATGCATTTTTTTTACAAGGGACCAACCATTGTCTGGCCCCTTTGAAGCTTCCCATGAAAGTGATTTAATCTCATCAGCCTTCATTCCTGAGTGATTGTGCGATTTTCTTTAACTGAGATGAACCACCTCACCGAGATATTAGGCAACACTTTTTCTTCTTCTTCTTCTTCTTCTTCTTCTTCTTCTTCTTCTTCTTCTTCTTCTTCTTCTTCTTCTTCTTCTTCTTCTTCTTCTTCTTCTTTTTCTTCTTCTTCTTTACATCCTCTTTTACCACTTCGGGTGTCGAGGGAGATATAAGGTCCTGCTTCGTGCTCTTCTGACTGCTTCGAACATAGACACATCGTGGTGCTGTAGAGTTTCTCTGATATTGTCTTCGTCTTGGTCCACCTCTTGCTCTACGTCCTTCTCTTTTCGTTTTTTTTTTTTTTTTTTTTTTTTTTTTTTAAATTTTTTTTTTTTTTTAGTTTCAACTTCTGAGTCATTTACTGAATACAATATAACCAAACAACAAAGACAAAATCCTGGCCGTCTGCACTGGAAGGCCGTCTGCAGCGTATCCTTCGTGTCTTTAGGAATATGACGTGTAAAGGTGCCAATCTCTTTCACGGTGCGAACTGTTTAAAAAAATTTTTTTTTAATGTAAGATCTGTGATACATTTATTTCAGTGTCTACGAATTTTTTTTTTTTAACCCTAGGAGTTTTTGTGGAGATGAGGTCAAGCCACTTGACTGCCCCCCCCCCCCCCCCCCCCCCCCCCCCCCCCCCCCCCCCCGAAGATCGTGGGTTCAATTCGCGGCTGCGCTGTTTAGTTCACTAGTGCAATTTTTACGAAGATTCATGAACTACAGAGTTCGTGCTTTGTGCAACGCTATTGACAGGCGGCTAGCCGTTCCGTGGAGAGAGAGCGAGCCCTATGAGATAATACCCGGTGCAATAAAGTCGTTCCTCTCGACTTCAACGTTTAACCTTTTAACCTTTCCTTTCTTTTCTTTTTGGTAGTGTGAGCATATAAGTGTGTATGTAATGTATGTATGTATGTATGTATGTATGTATGTATGTATGTATGTATGTATGTATGTATGTATGTATGTATGTATGTATGTATGTATGTATGTATGTATGTATGTATGTATGTATGTATGTATGTATGTATGTATGTATGTATGTATGTATGTGTATGTATGTGTGTGTGTGTGTGTGTATGTGTGTATGTATGTATGTATGTATGTATGTAATGGTATATATATATATATATATATATATATATATATATATATATAATTTAGGAAGTATAATATACTATCATCCGATTTGTTTCTGCAGCTAATGTTTATGAATACATGATTTCACCGCTGAGCTAGCCAGATTTATACCTTGACCAAATGTAACAATCAAGAGAAAATATATTGCGATGGTTAAGCCCACCACATCTTTGTTGAGACTGAACCGGTTAAAAAGGTATATCCTGTGATCTTTGTTTGACCTGTGATACAAGGTCAGGTCATATGAATATATTTCACCAGAGTCAAAGGATACAGCCCATAAGCCACATGCCAGAGTAGTTGATTTGACTAATCCCTCTTTCTAAGCTCGGCCGGTGAAAACCAGCCATAAGAAAAAAGTAGGATACAGCCTCGTCTTGGCGACTAAGACTGTGTCCTTACCCGCGCAGGCCTGTATGTTACAGCAATTTAGCGTTTAAATGTACCCTAATTAAAACCTGCTGAGAATCTTCAAAAAAGTAAAGTAAAGGGCCCTTTCGATATCTTCATGCATACTGGGC